TGGAACATCAATAGCGTGCATAGGAAGAAGAAAAATAAATAATAGTGCAGAGTATCTTAATAAAATAACACCATTGATTACAACATACACTTACAAAAAAGAAGTATCAAACTGGCATATCAAACTCAGTTGGAAACATATCCTGATCACAAGATCCGAAGGAGCAGGAAAGCCAGATGGAAAATACTTAGATACATAAAATGAAATCAAAATAAAGCAAATGCTCTGTACACTAAAAAGCCCTACGCGTTTCGTTCAAATGAGAACTTCCTCAGGGTCATCAGGGATCTGTCCCTATGCAGGCATAGCTTTTTTTTTTTTTTGAATGTACATTTGTTTTCTGGCAACTGGATGGATTTACCAGTCTTTTCATCCCTTTTTCCCCACAGGAAAATGTTCTGTTTCACTTCTCTTTTTTTCTTCTACTCTAAACTTGTCAGTCTCTTCTGTACTGGATATCTCTGTATAAAATTGAAACATTTGGGAAAAGAAAAGCCAACATGTTTAAGACCATTTTTATAACAATTTAAGAAATAAGTCTAGATTTAAGTAACAAAAACTCAAAAATCAGATCACTGTGATAAATTTCACCCCTTGTAGCCATCATTTCTGTCTATCTCATACAGACAATTTTCTTGAATTGTATATAAATTTGCAACAACCTCCCCCCCCCCCACTAAATCCAGCAAACTAATTGGCAGATACAAGCTTGAGCTAGAGTTTGATCCAGTTGAACTACTTTATGGATTTAATACTCACAAGATTATTCACACCAAAAATCGAAACAGACACTTTAATCAGTTGATACAAAAACAATAAGCAGCTACCACACTCATGCAGCTATTTCTCTTTAACCCAACACAACAATTTAAAAAGTGGAAAAATCTATTCTGCTAAGTAACCCCAAAATAATAAAAGTGGAGAGCTAGAATGAGAATATGTTTAGTGAACCCCTTCTTTTTTCCTGTAATAGGGGTATACATTCTTGTATATAACAAGAAACAAACAAAATATATACAATGGTGCAATACTGTGAACAGAATACTGTTATACACAATAGTGTATAAACCAAAGAGGGTGGGCTGTTACACTCATATGTATAGGTAAACATCCAATACAAAATTGATTAACCATGCCAAAATTTCCTCTAACCCTTAAGTGTTATATTTTTTCTAAAGTAGTTTGTTCTATATATACATATGAAAAAAAAAATCCTGCGGTCAAACTTCCACTACTCTTGGGCGGCAGCAATGACCATAGTACACATCATCCCAATACATACAGTAAAAACCAAAGGAAAAAAAAAATCTGCGCTCTTTCTGCGCTCTTTCCCAAATCCATATGTATATTTAAGCAAATGGAGGTTATTTAGTTACTCAAATGGCCATTATAGGGAATGCCCACTTGTAACATAAAGGCAATCCTCTTAGGTGGGTCCTCAGCTCAGGGCCGGTGCTTCCTATAAGGTGACCTAGGCAGCCGCTAAGGGCGGCACATCAGAGGGGGCGCCCTGCACCATCATCGCCAGCCCTTTTAATGTTGCAGCTGCCTGAGCGCTCTATGGAGAGCCTCAGAGGGCTGCAGCACTGCCTCTCTCCCCCTTCCCTTCCTTGTGTAGCGTGGCCGAGCTCCTCTCCGGTCCGTGGTACAGGACAGGAACATCCATTTCCTGTACCTGGCCGGACTGATAGGAAGTGCTCACTCAGTGCGCACTTCCTGTCAGTCCGGCCGGGTACAGGAAACAGAAGCTCCGGTACCGCGGACCGGAGAGGAACTTGGCCACGCTACACAGGGAAGGAGAGGTGAGAACACAGGGATGGGGGGTGAGGAGAACACAGGAAGGGGGGGTGAAGAGAACACAAGGGGGTGAGGAGAACACAGGAGGGAGGGAAGTGGGGTGAAGAGAACACAGGGGAGGGTAAGGGAGAGGTCACAGGGGGGGAGGTGGGAGAACACAGGAGGGAGGTGAGGGGAGGTGAGGTGAGAAGGCGTGGGGGTGGGAGAGTCCAACTTAGGAGGGTGAGGGAGAGCGTGTGGGGATTGAGGAGAACGTGGGGAGGGAGAGACCACTAAGGGAGGGAGGGTGGTGGAGAGACCATTAGGAGAGGGTGGGGGAGAGCAGACTCCATTAAGGGAGGGTGGTGGTGAGGAGAAGCGGGAGGGATGCGTGGAAGAGTCCACTAGGGAGGGATGGTGAGAGCATGGAGGGAGGGTGAGAAGAATGGGATGGGGTGGAAGAATGTCCACTAAAGGAGGGGGGGTGGAGAGAACGTGGGAGGAGAGAGAGGGGGGGTTTAGAATGAGAGACCACTAAGGGAGGGAGGGTGTTGGAAGAACTGGGGAGGGGTGAGGAGAGATCACAAAGGAAGGATGGGGAGAGGAGAACCACTAGGGAGGGGGTGGAGGAGAGGCCACTAGGGAGGGTGAGAAAAGACCCTGAAGGAAGGGGGGAGAGGATAGCCACTAGGGAAGGAGGGCCACTAATGGGGAGACGAGAGACCACTAATGGAAAATCGGGGAAGAAGGAGAGACCACTAAGGGGGGGGGGGGGCGAGTAGAGTAGAGTAGATACCACTAAGGGACAGGGGAGGAGAAGATAGACCACTAAGGGGCAGAGGAGAGCTCTAAGGGACGGAAGGGAGAGCTCTATAGGACAGGGGGCAGGACAGGGAGCTCATTCACACTACACACACAATGCATCCCTATACATACACAGAAAGACACAATGCATCCCTACACACACAGAAACATAACATGCTTCCCTTACAAACAGAGAAACACACAATACATCCATTACACACACAAACAATGCAACCTTTACACATAAAGACAATGCATCCTTTGCACACATACACAGAAACACACAATGCATGCCTTACACACAACCAGAAACTCACAATACATCCCTTATACACAAACACACACTGCTTTCTATCCCTTACACAAAAAACACACTGATTCCACAACACATACACTGCATCACCTACACAAACTGGTATCCCTATACACTACAGTCCATAATCACACACATT